CTAGAAAAGTTTCTCTTCCATGCATCGCAGTCTCGGAGCTGACCTCTGCAGTCCTGGAAGCTGTCATCTCTTGAGGCTTGTGGAGGTGTGTTTAGTGCTGTTCTGCACCTATCCTAAGGATAGCACAGTAGGATAAGAAGTGACCACTTCTCAGTCTAGCATAGAATATGGTACAGCTCTGTTGCTCCTAAGCAGACGGCAAACTTAGTGGCTAGGTACTATGCTCAGGTCCTGTATGTCGGCATCCGGCCAGGCAGGCCAGGAATCTCGCAAGGCGTGCACAGTGCTCTTCGAAGGTTCAACAATCCCTTTAAGAGGACTTTTGGAGTTCGAGGAGGGAGTTGTGAAGACGACAGCAACGCTGATCGTCGAGCGTTATCGGAGGGGTTATCGGGGAAGCATTGCAGGCGAAACTTATACGGAAGCAGTGGGACCGTGAGGGGTTTTCTGGCTTAAATGACTCTCTGGACGATAGAAAGCACCCGATATTGCGGGGTCTGCCAAGTACGTAGGTAGGTAAGTAGGTACGTGGTGAATGGTAAAGGGTCGACTAATTCGCGCAAAGAAATTTATAACTTTTCGGTGAAGGCCTGATAGGAGCGGTGGGGCTAGTCTCAGGTACGTACCTACCGTACACCTGGTGGACAGAGGCAGGCATCGAAGCGGGAGTGTATTGCAATATAAATACTATATACTTAGTATATACGCTTCTGTAGGGATGGCATGTGCTATTTACTTAATTCTCATCGCTGCAGTCATGGCAGCTATGACCATTAGCATTGATAGTCACATGCTATTTGTACTTATGTAGCTTGCATTTACTCAAGACGCCGGCCATGAGGCCTTTATGTTGTAGTCTGTTGGCCCAAATCAGTCTAGTTTATAATAGCGTCTTAGCATAGGGAATGTTGGCCTGTTAAAGGAGCTACTACGTTTACTCGTAAGGATGGTGTAGTTAAGAAATACCAAGTATTTCAATGGACGGCATCAAATCCACTGACCAAGAACACGCCAATTCACCAAACATACACGAATGAGTAATCAGCAGGACACCCAGAGAATAGGGTGCAGAACGAGCATCTGCCCATATACTCTTACCTGAATAAGAGAACAATTAACTCGCAGGGCTTTAGTCTTTGCGCATTCCACTTGCCTTCTGCAGGGGTTGTCACTTTTCCTTCCCACCCAAACTCCTGCCTTTCTTCATCGGGCCGTTATTTATCCGCATTTGCTCCGCTATTCCGCACTCGCACAGGTTACCTCACAAGAGTTCCATGACCATGACTTCGCGACAGCGACGCCCTCGGAGGAGATCGCACTCCTCGCCCATTTCCCGTGGCAACAAGACCAAGGACTTAGAGCCCCGAGTCTATTTCCGACAAGACGAGGTCCTAAAGCCCACTTCCACGAGTTTGGATCAGGACAACTACCCTGTTTATCTTCTCGAAGCTGCCACGGTCTACACCCTGGATGGAGAGAGGATCGCAAATCTACTTGATGTCGGAGTGACGGGGAGGGTTGAGGTTCGTGGCCGGTTAACTATCTTACCAGACGAAACAGAGATATCTCATTGTAAATGATCTTGGCAGCTCGCTCAGTTGTAGCTCCTAACATTTACTAGTGCGGACCCCGCATCATAATGGACAATGGCTCGCATTTTCATGCGATGCATTCTCCATTGGATGGGGACCAAGTGTGGTTTGGGCTCTGGGCGACCGCAAGTGGTTTGAGATCCAACCCTCATCCGAATACAAAGCGACATACGCACAGATGACAGAGGGCATTGCCATTTACTACTATCTAACCGAGCTTTATGAGCAGTTGGCTAAACAGCTCACCAGATACCCCATTGATAGCGTCTTCTTGCTGGTAAGCTCTCCTACCTTGTACTGCACAGTGGCCGGGGCTGATATTTTGCAGTATGCAGAACTTGAGGGTAGCAGCCTAAATGCAGATGTGATTCGCAAGAGAATCAAGAACCACGCCAGCTTCCTCCTGACACAGATGGTAAAGCGAGGCGCAAATGTCAACTGGATAAGCACTACCATATTCAAGTGGCTGATAGCAGAGTGCCCTGTAAGCAGAAACGTCCATTTGAAGGGAATGTCGAACTAACCTTTTCAGGATATACACCGCGCAGTCCTTGAAAAGAATGATCTAATGCTGGCTCCTATTTCCGATGCTCCTCTGCTTGGATCGGAGGTGCAGGTTGCTGTATCTGGAAGCTCTGGATACGGTAGCACACCAAAAGATTCGACTGACTCGAGATCGTCGCCTGTTGCAGAACAAGGCCGACGTCAGATTACTACTCAAGGGTCGCCATCTACTGTGGAGGTAATCGTTCGTACCATGCAGGAACTAGTCAGAGATCATCAAAACCACGACAAGATCACAATAGCCACGGTGTGGACGGCACTTTATCACGACCTGCAGGTAGAGTTGCCGCAAGCTAGAGTGATCCTCCGGTCCCATGCGCAACAGGTAGTAGACTTTCTTGACGAAGGCGTATGGGGCAATGCCCAGATCTACAAGGATCTGTCAGTGGAAGCTGCGTTGTCTAATCCTTCTCAAGAGTCGAAGGAGTTAGCTCAGAGCTTGTCAAAATTACCAGAGAGATCTCGCAAGAATCTTGCCGCAGGCGCGAGGGCCAAAGAGTTTGCAGAGTATGGACCTACAGCAATGACTATTAAACTCAAGCCTCGTAAGTCAGCTGTTTACCGCCGGCGGCCGGTCAAGAAATCTTTGACATTGAGCTTGGTTAACCGTGGTGCTACCAACGACAAGAGGCTCTCCTCAACTTCTCCGGAATCTGAAGCCGAGATTCATCCCACCCACGGCGGCAAAGCAGTTCCTCCGATACTGCGAGGCAAGAACGCTATCTTGCGCCCAAGTAGCACTACCCCTGCGCAATACAACACCGACGCCAGCTCTGGTCGATCTAGTAAGCTTGATCGCGACATTCCCGTTGGAATAGGCGGGCGCGGTAAGAAACGTAAAGCTATTGAACCCGAGATGGGTGATGTGTCAGATGATGAGATCATGTGGGATGCAATGGATGATGTCCTGCAGCATGAAGTCATGGATGATGCAGATGGAGACAATTTGGATATTAATCTAATCGATATTCCGCTGCCAAGCACTGATCCCACTGGGCCGAACGGCTCCTGGGTATGTCCGAAGGAGAACTGCAGCGCAATTATTCACGATACGGCAAGTGAAGGAGGAAAGCTCGCCATTCGGAAGCATCTGTACTCTCATGCTGATCCGCAGGTTATGCAGTATCTCGTGGAGACGGAAACCAAGAGGCATGGCGGCGTCGAGACCAAGTATCTGCTTGAAAAGATTCGGCAAATTGGTGCAAATAAGCGTATGGAAGAGGACGCTATGCAGTCAGGCAAACTAGAAACCGTCAAGCCGATTAAACGGGCTGGAGTATAATATGGGCGGTAGGATCAAAAGGAGTTTGGCGACGGCGGGGTTTGGGGGTACTTAGTGTTGTTGCAGGAAATGATCCCAGTGCCTCTGCCGCATTCTAGGAATGAACGACACAATAAAAGAAATAATCTTACATATTGTGACACTCCCTTTACTGTCTGCTTTTGGCATTCTGAGATAGAATTCTCCACAACACATGGCAGCTCGTCAGCTGTACATACGTCATGTCTTTCTAGGTTAAAGAGCGGCATCATGACCGATGCGCATAATATCAAGTGGTGAAGTATCCCTGGCCCGAAGAATATCCAAATACCAACATCAACGATAAGCCGTCCTACTCCGTCATCTTCAGTATCAAGACCCCATCGCACACACCGCAATTTCTGATTATCATTACTGCGATTCTCCGCGGATCCGGTCAACAAAGGAGATGAGTACCTCCGCTACTGTGCAGCCTATCGCCTTCGCACGCACCATTCTCTCTATTTGGAAGGTATACCCCGTGGATTCCGTGCTCTCGACCACCTTCTCCAGCACCCGGCGATTGTACAGGCGGAAGCGACCGGTCAAGTCGCTGACGTCTGGGCGCAGGACCGTCTCCACGAAGAGGCTGGCACCGTGTGAGACCAACCTGCGCTTCAGGTCCTAGCACGGACCTCTCCATCTTCAGCATACTAGGTGCTAGTGATGATGTTGTAGCCGCCGTTGGTGGAGAACGTCTTCTGCTACGCGATCATCTGGGCGATGAACGTCCGGTAGTTTGAGAAGTCGGCGTCTATGATGACGACAAAGTAGCCCATCACAAATTTCAGGCCATAGACATAAATCGTGCACAGGCCCAGCTTGCCAGCGCGCAGCTTCAGCACGACGTGTGGGGCGTAGGCCTTTAGCCAGCTGGTTTGGAACGATCTGCGTGCCATCGGTGGAGCCGTCGTCGCCCGATTATGAGTTCCCAGTCGACCATGCTGTTTGAAGGAGATGGTCAGTCTTAGGCCAGAAGCGGTAGAGGGGTGGAACGTAGGCTACCGTTCAGTAAATGTTTGGTTTGAGTAATTTGTGATGATAGGGAGGTTTCGACGTTTATGTAGGTTAGGAGCGTGATTTGAGTACTTACTTTTGGTAGCGCGGGGCATTTTGATTAATGGAGACGGAAGAACGGAAGAATTGAAGGTGAAGTGAATGTTGGGTAAAACACTGTACATTCAATTGCCAAAACAGTGTGGTGGTCAATTCGGATTCTTCTCGTCTCCAAATATCCGGGTGTCGTACCTTGAGATATTTCGGGCCATCAAGGCGCGAGATACTGATTATATAATACATTTACAATGTTCAGGTCCCAACAGATCAGGGAAGGTAGCTGCACAGAGATAGAGTTTTGGCTTAGATGTTAAAGCGAGAGGCATTTGCTATTAATATTCATAGTTCTATCATATGGTTTTATGTTAAATGCATCTGAACAGCACTGAAAGCGAACATATGTAAGGAATTAAGGAAGGGTCGCTTAAAGTTCTCAATCCTCATTACGCCTGTATATACTCTAATAAGGAACATGAAAGCCAACCCATGGTTGTGTAGTGTAGCGGTTATCACACTGGATTCTGATTGAATCTCTGAATGTTCCAGTGACCCCGGTTCGATTCCGGGCACGACCTGATATTTTTGCTTTTAAGAGTGAACTTTTGCTAGTCGTTAAGCAGGATTGCATTCTCTTTATGATTTTTCTTATTTTCCGCTCGCTTGTGAGTTGACATCCGGTTAGCTGCGTGACTGAGGTTTCAAGGGTTTCCCGTTCCGCTGACATAAAGTCAACAACACACCTCTCCTTTGCACCAGGGAATGATTATGGACAAGCGTTCTAACAATGCTGGTGATATGTATATTTTTACATGGTGGTCTCATTTCAACATTGCAAATCCTCTTTGCTTTCCCATACACCCTCGACGGACAATTGACAACACTCTCGACGATGATGCTACGAGACCCAAGCGCATCGTCTTTCCGATTGCTTTTGTCTTGTTCTTTAAGTCTTTTATCAGATGTACAGCCCTCTATCCATATTGTGGTCAGTTAAGACACTTGACAAGAATAGAACACGAAGAGAGTACGTACCTTTCTTTCGCCTAACAATGGGACTTCAGTGTTATTAGAGACCGGAGAAGGGACCAGCCCTTCGACGTAACCGGATACGATTGTCCATAGCAGAACCGCGCTCATGGTTTCTTTCCCCAATCCGCATTTCCCCCCAGTCCTTAGCTTTTGATTCTCTGGTCCCCGAGGAAGCTCTCCAAACAACCTCTGCTCCGATTCTACCTTTGGAATTCTCAGGAAAGGAAAGATCTTTCCTAGGCCAGACCTGACGAGGAGTTTATAGCCAAGACCACTCATAGGTTTGGTCTGGGGTGGAGGCGCAGAAGAAGGATTAGCGTCGCTGCCGGCGCCACATCCACAACGATTCAGTATCGTGGCATCTAATTTCTGCAAGAAAGGTCTAATGGTATATGTCGATACTTTCCACATAACGCCGGACTTTCTCTTATCTCTCTCATTATTTTTCTCTTGTTCAGATTCATATGTGGCGTTGTCATGGCCCATGTCCCGATAATTCAGTGGCTCTGAAAATATCTCGACATCCCAGCCATACTCTTCCAAAAATGCCAGGTACAGCGGGCCTGGAGAGGAGAGGGGAAATCGTAAGTCCGTATTGACTCTATTATTACGATGCCGGCTCGCGCACGTTGAGGGGCGGTAGCCAGTATCATGGGTTGAGATGGCCAAAGTGTCTACCCTCGGCTGTTGAATTGGTGGTGCTTGTCCTTGTCGTGCTGCGCAATACTTCCTCTTCCGCTCTAGGAGCAAATTTTCTTCGTGCCAGACTGAGGAGTCTGTTGGTACCAGCCACCCATTTTGAATCCGAGAATCGAAGAGGACGGCCGATGGCAGGAAGCGGGAGAGGATGTAGTCGTTACAGATGCCGGAAGCGTGGAGACAGAAGAATTGGCGGAGGCCGGGTGATGTCTGGGCGAGGGCGAGGAATGTGCTGGGACCTGGCAGGAAGGAGACGATACGGAGGAGCAGCTCAGGAGGGATAGAGGTCAAGGAAGGGGAATTCTGTGTTGAGCACGTGACCTGCATCATGAAATTCCCAGGTGAATACTCGAGAAAGGGCGGATGGAGTGGACCAGCATCTCAGCATCCTGAAGACTGGTGTTTGGATTCCCTTATATGCCATTATCGTCGTCGTCGATGACTCTGCCCTCGATGGCTCCGTGTTTTCTGATGTCAATATCACGTGACCAAGCTCTGGTCGGCGGGGTTCGCGCGGTGTTTCACGATAAAAAAGGGGCCCAAGACGATTGGCGAGAAGACACGGCGATGCGCCAGGGCCGGACGAGCTGCACATCGATGGGCTGGAGGAGGGATTGCAACAGGCAAAGAGGGCATTCTCGTTGGCCGGGGCGAGTAGATCGTGTGCCATACCCAGAGGACGAGGGAACGCGGGCGATTGGCATCTTGGATGCACTATTGGATTGCTGATCACGGAAGTTGGGTTTGGTCGTTCACCACCCACGGCCCTTCTCGTTGGCCGTCTTTATTGGTACTCGTAATCGGGCCAGCCGAGGTCTCCATAGCAGGTACCTGTGGCACCTCCTGTCTTGGCGCCGGGATGGGGTACCCCCGATGCCCCGTCCCAGCCACAGGATTGCACGGGGTACCTGCAGTAGCAGTTATCGTACGCAGCTCAAACAGATGGTCCTACAACGTCGTATCACCTCATGGTGCTGTGGTGGTCGTCGCGAAGGGTCGCTGCCATTGTTCTTGTCTTGCACACAATCCGCTCATTCATTCATTCATTCATACATTCGCTCACTCATCCACCGCCCTCCATTGTGCTTGTGTACGTACGCCGTGTCTCTACCCTACCATCGAGGAGTTCCATCTATCTACTCCCGACACCGTCTCCCCTGCCCCGAGACCCTGAATGATGTGCCACATTCGACCCTCCCGGCTCGACTGAAGGATCCCCAATCTCCACCAACCGTCTCTTCTCTCTCCCTTCTTTTCTTTCTTCTCCTTCCCCTCTACCATCTCAGCGTCGTCATCATCGCCGTCACCGTCGCTCACTCGTTTATCAATCCGCACACGGTCGATTCCTTCGCAGGCGGAGATCGACTCGTGCTTGTCGCGATCTGATTGTCGGCCGACGCCCTCGACGCACACGCCCGACCGGCCCCTCACGGCACGCACTCACTATCATCACAACAATCCTTTACACAATTCCAGGGCATACTGAGGGTATAGCATCTCGATCATTAACTCTACCGCTCTCGAGGTACACCGCCGACACCTCACACACTCTCTTGCAACCCCCCTACAACTCTTTGGCTGGACCATCTCCTTTGACAACCCCAACACTCTCATAATGCTCTGGTCACGGAGGGTTAAGAAGGACGACATCAGAGCGGACCAAAAATGGGATTTTATTGTACGTGGTGATGGCTTTCACTAGCATGGAACAGTCTTGATATACATCTGTTACTCCTACTAATACCACTGCAGAGTCTGAACGACTTTAAATCCACCTCCTGCCTCACTCCCTTAGCATATGGCTACCTCCTAGTCTCTCTCGTGATCTCAGCCGCCGTCTATGCTGTCGACATCTTCACTGCTGTCAATCTCCTCGCGTTCGATCGCTGGTCCGGCGAAATCAAACCCGTCATCTCGTTCGATATCTCCAAATGGATATTCTCAGCATGTATCATTGCATCCCTCGTTAACTTGGCCTTTGAACATCTTCGTGCATGGCACGTCATGAGACGTGGCGCCGTCGCCGAGAGCTACTTGGACTCTCTGGCTGTCAGACTCGAGTGTATCCGTATGGGAGAGAATGGACGAGGATGGAAGCGATTCCTAGTCTTCGCCGAATTAACTAAGAGCAGGAAGGGCGCTGAATTCGTTGCCCTCTTTACCTACTTTTCATTCCAAGGTGAGCCCCAACTGTGCAGGAACCTAGCACGTAGCTAACTGTCGCAGCCTGGATTCGAATCATCGTCTGCCAAGGACCGCAAAAGGTCATAAACGCCTTAACTCTTTGGTCTGTCCTCAAGGCGAACCTCGATCCCTCGGCCAAGAATGTTGGCCAGGGCTTTATCCAATTCTTCAAGAACATAGGGATCCTCGCAAGCCTAGATCACCAACAAGCTGTCATCCTGAGCGGCATGCTCTTCACCTTGGTCATCTGGGTCTTCAGTGCCCTCTCACTCATGCTCGCCGCGCTCTTCTTTGTATTCTTCCTCTGGCATTACATTCCTAATTCTGATGGAGGACTGTCTGGCTACTGTGAGCGAAAGATCAATACTCGATTGGCTGAGATTGTGTCGGACAAAGTCAACAAGGCCCTAGAAGAGGAAGAGAGGAAGCGAAGGAAGGCAGACCAGAAGGCCATGCGCAAAGGCGAGAAGCCGGCATATGGAAGACAAGCAACCCTTCCCACTCTCTTCGATGCAAAAGACGACAAACTCCCAGGCATGCCTATGCTCAATCGCAACGATACGACACCGACGCTGCCTCTGTATACTTCGCGGCCTGGCACACCCAGCTCAGCTCTACCTGCTTTCGAATTAAATGAATTGGACAAGAATCGACCATATGCTTCTAGACAAGGCACGGGAACTTCTTACACGTCAAATGCTCCCCTCCTGAGCAATGCATCAGATATGGGTTTCGATCGAACCGCATCTCCCATTTCCCCTCTCCCCCCCCTCAACACAAATGTCATGCCACTCGCACCTCAACGGTCTATGACCGGTAATTCTACTTCCAGCCAGTGGAATAACAACTCTCCCGTTGGCCTACCACGCGGTCCGCCACGAATGACAACCCCGTTGAGCGATAGAGGATACACTCAGTCTCCTATCTCCTACAGCGATAGCCGGAGCCTACAAAGTCCACCGACGCCAGTGGATTCGTATGGTAGACCAATGCCACGCGCTGTCGGCGATTTGAGATCCAACACCCCTCTGGGGCCTCCCACAAGCACGGGCGTAAGAACGCCATTCGATCCTTACTCTCCTGCTGCGCGCTCCTCGCCTGCGCCTTCGGGACCTACATCAGACTACGGCCGCTCCAGTCCCGCATCGGGACTGTCCGCCTCTCGTTCGCCTCCTCCAACTAATAACAATACAAGCTACGTCGCCTACAACCCGAGCCAACGACCCCCACCCTCTTCTACACCCTCCAATTCATCACCTTCACTAGGTCAGCCATACCGGAGCATGACAGATCCTGCCTCTCGTCCCCCTCCAACCGACTACTTCTCAAGCGGTCCGCAGAGGAGTGCCACGGGACTGGATGAGAGCGCCATGAATGGTCCTCGAGGAAACCCCAATATTGCCAGGATAAGGGAAGGCCCAGCTCGACTCGCAAGTCCAGCGCCCTATGTCAATAACTTCAACGGCAGAGGGAGTCCGCAAGGGTACAACCCAGGCGGAGCTAATTCTCCGAGTCCACCTAGAGATCCATACTATCGATAATCTCAGATCGAGGAGGATTACGGGGATATTCGATTGGCGGAATCTGTATATTGCGACGCGATATGAAAGGCTCTCATTTCAATTGGATCGGCGAAAGGGCGTCTAGTGAGCGACTGTTTATA